ATAAAACTGTAAAATTACGGTACACTGCTGGAAACCCTGCTGCCAGTATATTACCGTTAATTTACAAGGACATTTTTTACAGTGTATGCATTATATTGAATCAAGATCAATGAGTATATTCCACACCTCCTGTTCAAAACTTCCCTTTTTCACAGGTTAGAGGGTAACCGAACAACCAAAAAAATGAAGCCAGATGGAATTCTAGCAACTTAATTTTCCCAGCTGGGCAGATCCTTGTGCTTCCAGATCTCCTGAGAACTGGACAGGCCTTTAACAGGAGGAATCTTATCTTTGATGTTAGGAACTGCACTCTCAGATTGATCTAGTGCGCAATTGCTGAGTAGTGTACAGGAGCCTTTGCCACCCAGGCAGCATCTTGAGGAACAAAGAATTCTGGGAAACTGACAAAAGTGGACGTGACAAAAAGAAGGGAGAAGAAAGTGAAGTGCAGGATGGAGACACAGAGCAGAGGACGTCTGAGAGGAGTGCCCTCAGAAAGAACTGTGTCCTCTCTTCTGCTCACACTCATCATTGGTAAGACTTGCCTCTACCTCCTCACAATGAAAACATACTGTTGTCAACTATTATGTTTAGTTATGATTTCATTTTTTATGTAGAAAAAAACTATTTTTAAATACAACAGACCAGATGAATTCCTGTTCTTGTCAGAGAGTTGTTTACGGCAAGTACCAAGTCTGTACTGTACTAATATTTCATACTGAAAATTCATATTGAATCAGTGAGTCTATGCAGTTCTCTGATGTCCTAAACACAGACACACACGCAGATCCAGCTCCTAATGTTGCATTGCAGAGCTGCTGTAGCATAAAGTGTTAAAGTCAGCATTAGTTTAGTGGCTCAAATTTCTGAGACATATTTGCCCCTGACAACGGAACTATGCTCAGGAAACTGGTCAGATTTATAATTTGCTCTCCTTCATGTCATATCAAGTCTGACTCAAGACTTTCTTTCTGATTATGTTAAAATGTTCACAAGTGTTTTATCATTCAAGTTGGGCCTTGCATATCACACTGCATTTGTACTTGAATATGGGATGACATGGTTCTGAGGAGCTTGCTTTTAGTTTGCAAGTTCAAATTTTGTTTGTCAGTTATGGTAGCATATTTTGGTTGTGAATAATGACAGAGATAGACATATTTGCCCCTGACAACGGAACTACGCTCAGAAAACTGGTCAGACTTATAATTTGCTCTCCTTCATTTCATATCAAGTCTGACTCAAGACTTTCTTTCTGATTATGTTAAAATGTTCACAAGTGTTTTATCATTCAAGTTGGGCCTTGCATATCACACTGCATTTGTACTTGAATATGGGATGACATGGTTCTGAGGAGCTTGCTTTTAGTTTGCAAGTTCAAATTTTGTTTGTCAGTTATGGTAGCATATTTTGGTTGTGAATAATGACAGAGATTTATGTGTGCGAGAGCTGTGAACGGGCATCCCGTGCTGCTCTAGAGAACATACTTTGGACCACCACAGACTAATGGAAGATGAGACTTACAGTAATGTAAGGAGTTTTGTTTCATGGCTGGTAAAGGGGAGTATCACGGATTGTTACTGGTGCTGAGTTAATCACAGAAAACAAGGGACTGAAGATCCCATTAAATAGGCTCTCGAATCAAGTATGTCTGACTGTTTGAGTCAAACTTTGCTTAAGACTCTTTCAAATGTTTTTCATCATATATCAGTTTCAAAGTATCTGGGCTATTTTATCTTCATTCATTTAACACAGCAGCTCTGTATTCTATAGTAAATAAAAAATAGTTTTGTTTCTCCTAAGGTATTTTGGGAGATTTGTTACCGAGAATCATTAAGTCTCATGAGACTGATTCCTCATCAATATTAATTCAATTAAATGTTTCTCTGGGGTGAAGCAGCAGGCTACGTTTCTGTAACGGAAGCACAAAGTCTCTTAGAGAACATGATGACAAGCATGTTGATTAAATCACCATTGAATACACAGTGTTTTCACAATCACTCGTTTCCTGGTTTAAAATACCTCTCATGAAAGGGTACAGTTGATTGGTAGGACCTCTTCACTGCTTATGCAACGTCTCGAGTTACACAGTAGTGTAAACTCAGCACTCTCACACCAGCACATGTTTATTCTGTCACATTGCATGCCAAGCAAACTTCTGGACACTTGACGTCAGAGAGCCCAGGTGTGTATGGAAGCTCACTCTATAGCCTGCTTATTTCTTATCTACAATGGTAGGCCTACATACAGTATGTAAAATGTGTACAATATATACATTTATAGGTGTTATATATTCTGTATATAGGAACTTTCAATATCCAGACACACAGTTTCCCTGTTAGCTTGCAGAATTGCATTCAAACTGATACAGTGCATGTACCATGAATATCAACAAATTGTTCCTCACAATGAAACAAGAAAACGTATATAATTAATTCACTCATTAAATTATGCCTCTTATGTGTTTCACAGTAATAGAAGACGATAAAAGTTATAGTAAACACCTAGAACAGAAAAAGTTAAATATAGATGACTAAAAATGCTGTGCACATGAAACAGTATCTCTGTAGAACCACATATGAAATGTGAAAGCTGTTATATGAACCTTGCTAAACTACATGCTGACATATTCAAATATTATTATGTCGTATATGTATTATTTGCATAATTTATATTATGTATTCATTTAGTTGCATTTTTACTATTATTATTTTATTAAAAGTTATTTCATTGTTCAATATATTAATGCATTTGGTAGACACTTTCTAAACCACGACTGAAAATGAATGAGTTGTTTGGGTTGTTGAGAGGTTTCATACTTGACCAGTTATATTTATTGGCACTACAAAGTCTCAGAAATTTTTATGCATGATTTATTTTTCTTAACATGTCTGGGTGCTGAAATGATCACTGTGCCAACCACTAAAAGTTAACATATGTTCAATTAAATTCAAGTTTATTTGTATAGCGCTTTTCACGATACAAATCGTTGCAAAGCAACTTTACAGAAAATTTAGTTTCTACAATATTTAGTAGAAGCTTATGAGTGGTGACTGTCAGTTAATGTACATATGGCAGAAATGTAGGGATGTACCATGAATATCAACAAATTGTTCCTCACAATGAAACAAGAAAACGTATATAATTAATTCACTCATTAAATTATGCCTCTTATGTGTTTCACAGTAATAGAAGACGATAAAAGTTATAGTAAACACCTAGAACCGAAAAAGTTAAATATAGATGACTAAAAATGCTGTGCACATGAAACAGTATCTCTGTAGAACCACATATGAAATGTGAAAGCTGTTATATGAACCTTGCTAAACTACATGCTGACATATTCAAATATTATGTCGTATATGTATTATTTGCATCATTTATATTATGTATTCATTTAGTTGCATTTTTACTATTATTATTTTATTCAAATTTATTTCATTGTTCAATATATTAATGCATTTGGTAGACACTTTCTAAACCACGACTGAAAATGAATGAGTTGTTTGGGTTGTTGAGAGGTTTCATACTTGACCAGTTATATTTATTGGCACTACAAAGTCTCAGAAATTTTTATGCATGATTTATTTTTCTTAACATGTCTGGGTGCTGAAATGATCACTGTGCCAACCACTAAAAGTTAACATATGTTCAATTAAATTCAAGTTTATTTGTATAGCGCTTTTCACGATACAAATCGTTGCAAAGCAACTTTACAGAAAATTAAGTTTCTACAGTATTTAGTAGAAGCTTATGAGTGGTGACTGTCAGTTAATGTACATATGGCAGAAATGTAGGGGAAATCAATTAAAGACATAATCAAACAGACGATGAACACTATTAACAGCAATTATTATACGATGCAATCAAACTTATAGCAAAATTTGGTAGTTCTTATAAAATAATGCGGTGTGGCATAGTAGATAAAACTCTGGGCTAATAACTAGAAGGTTGTGAGGTAAAAGCCCTTTGATTCATGAGAGAACTGCAACATTACCTTTATGTGAGAAAGCAAGAGAGAATAAATGGGAACGGGTGCATTGTATATGTGTTTGTGCATATGTCAGTTTGCCATTAATCTTAATGACCTTTTGATAGATTTGCGTCTCTCTCTTCAGGTTTCGATAGTGTCACTGACTACATAGGAACATTTAATTTCATGTTTTCCATCTTCATCTGCTTTTTTTCTTCCTATTTCAGGCATGTGTTGCGTTCATGCTCTGGAGATGTCTACTGGTAAGGTTCCATTTCTGGAAGCAGTGAACGGCAGCACAGTCCTTCTGCCCTGCACCTATGCCAGCTGTATTGGGATCACTAACCTCTACTTCAAATGGGAGTTCAATGATAATGGCACCATGAAGAAGGTAACAGATATTCAGTTTAATAATTATGGGATACTCAAATTTATTCCACTAATGTACATAAAATAATATAATGGTACACTAATATAGAATACACTAAAATAGAATAGATGTTACCACACAAACACAACCAAAACATTTCATCTTAGGCCTACTAAACAACAAACAGTCTTGTTGGGGGTTCAAAAGTCTGAGACCACATTGAAAATTTGGGATTTAAAATCTAATTTAAACCTGGAAATAAAGTTTTAGGAGTTTCTCTGTTCTTGTATTTTGTATTTTTCTGTTAAATATGCATCTGTGCTATTTTTGGTTACTAATCAAATAAGTAACTTTGCGGCACTGATCACGTGAACTGCTTTACACTGACGGTCGAATGTTCGCGCCATCCAGCGGTCAGACATTTCGAAATCTCGTATCACACCGCGGCCTCGCGCTCGCTGTTATACAAACGCAGCTGGCGCCATCCTGCGTCTCTCAGTTATCGATTGTAGTTACAATGACTTCAGAGGAGTTCAGTGTATTTACTGTTTTGCTGCAATGTTCGCCTTGTCACTACCGATTGTTTTATATGTTGTGGTAGACTTTTTTTCTTAGCAGGAGCTTTTGGATAATATACAAAATATGTTCATTCAGTATTTCATGTCAACATATTTAGTTATTTGGTAAGCGGCCGTGTAATAATCTCGATAATACACAATAGGCTAAACCCCTTCAGGCGTCCTCCACGTTTATTTTTTCTATAATTAACTGCTCAATGTGGATTATCCTTTACCTAACTAACGTGTTCAGTTATACATGAACACCATATAGGCCTAGCAGGACACTTTTCACACTGTATTCAGCTTTTATTTACTTAAGACAACATCCAAAACATAATTTAACAATAAAATGAGTTACTGTTGCTAAGTCTAACATTGATTGGATAGAAATATAAATAGAAACCCTTACTTTATCTTGAGCTGGTTTTGTATGCCTTCAAGGGCACTTGAAGTGGAAGAGCAGCAGTTCTTACAAACCATTCCATCGACTTGATATTGTTTCTCAGTGTCATATTCTGTGTATTCTTTCAAGTATCAAAGATAGTAACAAAGATAGATCATCACTACAGACTTCAAAATCAAAGAGAACAGTCTGAGTTAAGGATATTGTAAAATGGAGTGACAATTTAAGATATAGGCATTTGCACTGCAGTATTGATAGTCTCAAAGGCAAAAACACGTATCTAGAGCCAGTGTTAGTTGTACTTTACATATGCTCAGTTTAACATTAATAACTGACAGTTCTCTTTCCCAATCAGATGGCTGATTCTGTAATTCCAACGGATAATGTGGAGCCAAATAAAGTAAACATTTGCCGTGAGAGGGTGGAGTATGTTGGCTCCAGTAAAGGAAATAACATCTCCATCCTGCTTTGGAATATAACATTTGAGGATGCAGGTGTCTACACCTGCTTTGGCAAAAACCCCAAAGAGAAGGGCAAGAATCACAGCGCCATTTTCACTCTATATGTAGTAGAGGAACGTAAGTGTTGCAGGGTGGGAAGAGAGAGAATGATACATGAACATCACATTTCAAGGTCATTATTCAAATAACTCTATATGCCTTTTTCTCCTCTCTCATTCCCTTTTTGGTGTATTCTCTGGCTATCCCATTCTCAGTAAGGAAGGTTGATAACACACTCACCATCATCATTGCTTCCTGTGTTGGTGGATTCATCGCTTTGTTAATGGCCTTCATGCTGCTAAAGAACCTCACTCTGTTCGTTCTCGCAAAGATTGAGGAAAAAAAGTGAGTTCATGGCAAATTGTAGGATGTACACATAAGCATATATTAGACTAGAAAGATTAAGATTTCCTGTACCCTTTTCCAGATTTGGACCATGTCATTGCTTGACAATAAATATAAATTATAAAATAATTGATGAATTAATATGCAAGTAGTAGTAGTACTATGTATAATATGTATGATTTATATATATAATCTCCCTCTCATTCTGCCCATTTCTTTCTATGTTTTTTTCAGTAAGGAGTGCCTTGTCACCTCCTCAGGGATTGATAACACAGAGAACGGTCTGTCGGGCTCCAAATCTACACCAAAGAAAGCATGACAGCGTGCAACCAAACAGAGTCACACATGCACGTGAAAACATGGATCAGCCATCAAGCTGTGCCCTCTCTGTTAATTTACATCCGTGTTTACAAATGCTATACTTTTGTTTTTTTATATATATAGAGCAATGATAGTATTAAACAAACGTGAAAGATTTTCATTCATAACCTTTCCAAGGATGATGTTCATATGACTTATTTTTAGTTGATGCATAAACACGGATATGAATAAGACGAGGGGCATAAGGTATTTCTGCATATATTAAATTTATATATGCGTTTAAATATGCACCACACATGCAGCCTCATGCACTTTAGTTTCTTGGCCCACACCAAATCTGTGGGCTGTACTTATTCTTATGATAGAAAAATGAAATATTTTCTTCAATAATGCTTGAGACAGGGATAAATGTAGCTATGCTATTTATTTAGTTAATTGAACTGGACTGTAAAACTGTGAAGAGCCCATGCCCTCACATCTACAGTAGGTGCCTGACTAAAATAATTGTGAAAGGAGTACAGGTTTCTTGTGTTAAAAAAAATGTAGTCCTGTTTGTCAAATGGCCATTGACTTTGAAAAATATATGTTGTAGAAAGATCAGTTATGCAACAGAGAAATTTGTTTAGAGGGACACTAGTGATTTGTATTGTTTCACTCACAGAGACAGACTCTCATAGCTGGTTAATCAAACTGCATGTTTTAATGCAGTACCTCTGAATAGAGCCAAAAAAAAAAAAAATCAGCAGAACTCTGATTGTAATAAGCATGAAGGGAGAATTAGGCCTTATTTTAACAGTCTTGAGTCCAGTTCAAAATAAACCTCATTACCGTTTTTGCTTGAAAATGAAACACAGGTGCCTGTTAATGCTTCTGTCGCCACCTTTTGGCGAGGATGACTGAATCAATGCAGAACATTATAATGCAAAAAAAGAAAGAAAAAAAAAAGAAAAAGAAAAAAATAGAAAATGCCGCAAAATCGCAAAAGCCACCAAACAGTTAGTAAATACAAGCTAATGAATGATACTTGACAATCCGTAGAAATCAGCATCCTCTTAGAGAAAACCCTGAATGAAACACAGAAAATGCTGCTTCAAATAATTTCCAATGCATTATAGCATGTGTTAAATGCCAGAAGTTTTAGGGGTACATGGCTGACTATAACAGTAGAAACATTGTATGTAATGCTTTTTTATATACTGAAAGAAAATTGTCACATACTGAACATAAATAGCATCAGCTTTTAAACAAAAAATAGCTTGGTGAATTTCCATGCTGTTCAAAATATGAATACCAAAAAGGAAAAAAAAAATTATATATATATATAACCTTTCGATGCAAACATACTTTGACCTGAAAACCATGCAACTCACCCTATGACATAATGAAAATGCAATATTTAAAGGCAATAAACCCATAATCATACAGTCATGCAAAACAACTAACTAAATGATAACAGTATATATCATGTATATATCGTGTATCATGTATATCATATATAGATTTAACAATCAAGACATGACTGGATATAGGTCTCACAGATTTTCAGAAGTTTAGCTAATAAGCATTTCAAACTTTCACTTGAAGGATTCAGGGAATTCAGAGGATATCAGAGAAGGGGCTGACGTCAAGCAAGTCTGCTCATTCAATTAGAAATGAAATAACATTAATAAATAGATAATGTCCCAATAATCTGTTATTAAAACTACAGAGGTGCTGTACAAAACGTCAACTCTAAATGACCGATGGCAGATTATCCTGTCATTTAAAAAGATATGTTACCTCTTTTAGTAAAATATTATTTAGTGAGATAATATTTTAACCAAGAATCTTGGTTGATGTTGGTCACGAAATACACGTAAATCTTCCTTGAAAAAAGCTGCTTGTTTTCAGTGCCAAAAGGAGTTAACTCCAGATAAACAGTCTAGTCAGAGGTCTAGTCTAGATTTGTAAACTCAGATTGTGGATTTGTTCATTAGAACTATAGAGCACAAAAACAGTCTAGGAGAAATCTGGTAAATTAATATTGTATTTGGACCTGAAAAATCTATAAGCAGTGTATACTATACAGTATATCCAGTAGCTCTCCTCTCATACCCATGTGTAACATCACTAAGTGTCTATTGTAACAGCATTTATGTTTATACTATTTTTTTTCATTTGGAAACAGTATCTTTTATTCAACATTGCAAGGGTGTAGTTGAAATGATTGCAATTCAGTTTGATAATGTCATTGATGCTCAGGTTTTTTTTTTTTTTTTTTTCTTGTGAGTGCACACAGATCAGTAAAGCAATGCACATTCAGAGGATTCTAGCTTCTTTTAATAAGAGAAATATTGGAACGGTACATTCATACATTTTCAAAGCACTTATACTACCTCTTATTCAGACATGTTCATCATACTGTTCTGCTAAACTTACACTTAATATTTCTGCATTTAACATTAAGATTTTGGAAGAGTCAAGGATTTTTCAGGTTGTTCAGTGAAAGAGTTTGATATTCTTCTTGTAATTTGGCTTCAGGATCTTTGGTCTTCTAATTAATATTATCTTTGCTGTCTTCGTTTTATTAATGCACTATTTAATTAACAACATACCGCACCAGTTTTGGTTGGATTATTATTGGTCAGGCTTGGCGGTAACCATGGCCTAATTCATTTTTCAACCAAACCACAGACTAATATGATACCGTTCAAAGGGGAAGTTTTCACCATTATTTGAATTGAAAGTTTTTCCCAAAAAGCTGTATTTCTCTGTAAATGTATCTCATGTTTCGGTATTGGGATTTGAAGTAAATTTCTGTCTGACACCTCACAAACACCTATGGCCAAAAACATAATTATCTTGATGGTGTGTGTGTCTGTTCACACTTATGTGAAGCTTTCTGCAGTGTTGAGGGCAGCTCACCTGTGGAAAACTAGAATGAGGAAATGCCAGATACAAAGCAATAATAGAGAATGTGGGAGAAACCAATTAAAATGTGGATTGCTGGTTTGAATTCATTCAATTACTTTCAGTTTATCCTTTAAATCACTCAGACGGATGGTAAAGTATCTTAAATTGATACACCCAAACTTGTTGCTTTTGAATAAAATTCTATGTGCAACTTCTGTAAATGTACAACTTCTAAATTGTTTTTAACAGTAATTTGCATGCAAACTGTACAGTGTTAAAGCATCAGAGTACCACTGCAGCTATGTTTAAAAAAAAAAAAAAAAAGCTGGATCAGATACATTCAGATGCTTTACGAACACTGAGCTACACCAGACTGTTGAGACAAAAATGTAAAACCAAGGAGAATAGAGGCCTCAAGGACTCAAGTCCACAGAGTCAGAAGGAACAATGCCTTGGAGGAGTTACGGTTTGGAAAATGACTAACTTGGAATTTACTTCAATCCAGATCTACAGACAGTAGACATTGTTTGACATCAGTCCCTGTAAAACTGAATGTAAAACACATGCTGTATCATAGATGGTCCACTCAGCCCATAATCCAGAATTCTTGATTCCATTGTTTCCTTAAGCCAGTGTGCAGGCCTGTTATTCCCCATTGGACTGCACAGTCATGCATATTGGATTTCTTTATTATAAGCAGCAACTAAAATAAAATGTTTTGGATAAAATAAAGGTTGTGATGTGTGCTGGACTGGTAAATGAATCAAGTAAGAGCTTTATTATTTTATTTATTTAGCTTTCTAAATACGTTTGGTTAGAAAAAAAAATTAAAACACTTTGAGTACTTTAGCTTTACAATGAGCATACAGTACTGACTGGAAAACTGCCATAATGCGACTAGTGAGACTAAAAAAAGCATGATGTTTTGACATAATACTTGTTAAATTAAACATCAAATTAATTATAAAATGTAACAATATCTAGATTCAAGAACGCAGATTTATGTAGTAACACTGAGGTGATTTGTCGTCTTTCCTCTTGTGTCACAAAAGCATGAAGTGATGTGTCCATGGTTCACCTTCTCATGGACGTCTCTGAAACATGACATTCAGTCTGGAAATATATTTTCCTTTCTTATATATTAATGTGCACAATCAAGTAAAACATACCTTCATTACAGTGTAGATCCAGTTGAGAAGTTGACTAACATCAGTGTAAACTCCAGGTTTTCCATCCCGTGCACAGCCCACTCCCCAACTCACTATACCCATTAACTGCCAACGAGATGACAGGTACACCAGTGGACCCCCACTGTCCCCCTTAAAAAGAGAGAATACTTTAAAGTGATACGATTTGGAAATAGCTTTTTTTCTGGATACAAAGACAATTATATCTCTCTCTTCTGAAGGGGAGCCTGCATTTGATTTTTCATTTGTTGTTGTTACCTGACACGCATCTATGTTTCCTTCGAAGAATCCAGCACAAAGCATTCTGGGAGTTATGGCAGAACCATAAACAGAGGGCTTGGAACACTCTGACCTGTCAATCAGTGGCACTGAAGCTTTCTGCAGCACAGAGGGCAGCTCACCTGCGTAAAATGAGAATGAGGAAATGCCAGAGACAAAACAATATAAAGGTTGTGGGAGAAACTGAACAAAAGGAGGATTGCAGATTTAAAGATAGATGTTCACAATCCTGCCGTATTTGAGTTACCAATGATCTATTAAGTGACAAATCCCCTTCCTCTTACCTTTCTCCTTTAACAATCCCCATCCAGTCACCACAAGCATCTCCTTCACAGACAGCTGGTGTGGGGGTAAACAAACTGGCAAGATCGATTCTAAGGATAGACAGAAAATAAGACCTATAGCCAATGATATTTATTTGGGCCTTTTGTTCCATGATAAACCTTACAAACCACTGACCTCACTATAACTACTGACACTACTGCTTTAGAGTACTAGGATGCTAGAGTAATGACACATCGAGGCTTCTCAAAAGAATTAAGTTAAAAATAACCAAAGCATACTGAAAGTGATCATTGTTTATGTCTTAGAATATGCCATATGTTATGGGCCACTTTTATTTTCTTCGTCTTTTTGGAGCACTATGAACCATAACTATGAACCGCCTTTGGGGGGGAAAAAAAAAAGGGTTTCATAAAGCATCTTAAAATGTCAATCTAGCAGCAAAGGAGGGAAAATGAGGGAAAAAAAAAAAAAAAAGTTGTAGATGCTGAAGTGGGACTCTATCAACTTGAAATGTCCCTCTTATGTAATCAAGCAATTTATATAATCATATAATCATCGTAAAACTCTGATGTAAGAGAGTAGCTCATCAGAATGGATAAATGAAATACTGTACCCCCAACAGTTACAGGCCAGGTGAGTTTTAGCATGGCGATATCATAGTCATTACTCAAGCGGCTGTAGTAACTGTGGACAACAATCATCTCTATGCTGCCGACACCCCTGGATGCCGCCACTTGGGTCTGACCCAACACCACAGTCCATCGTCTCAGCTCCCGTGTCTGGCTAAGAGTTCGTTTGTGTGTGTGAGAAAGATGCAGCAAGTCACAAAACAACATCCAAGTGAACCAACTGAACCATAGTCATTCATTTAAACAAGTAAAAATGTGTTCTTATTGTAAAGAGAGGAATTTTATTCAAAAGCAACTGGTTTAGGTTTACCCATTTGAGACATTTCATTAGTCAACTGAATTATTTAAGGGGAATTAGACTAAAAGACTAAAATTCTGTTCTAGAACATCTTACATTTCTGAATGACTTACCCTGTAAAACAGTGAGCAGCTGATATGATCCAGCGCCTGGACAGTAATGCTCCTCCACAAACATGCTGGTGGTTCCACTGAAGACTAACCTGCCACGGCCAGTGTTCGATTTCTGTGTCCACCCCACCAACAATACGGTCCTCTCCCACCACCTCTCCACAGTCTGTATTAACACAGGGGAGACGTTTAGAATCAGACACATGAACAAAGATATTAGTATGCTTCCTTATTCCTGAAAAAAAAAAAAAACGAACTAGAATTTACACTCAAATTTAAATAATGAAGTAGAATTAAAAATTAACTGAAATAAAAAAAAAACTAATTTTTAACAATAAAAAGGACAGTCTGTCATCAACTTTGAACGATGCATGTCTTGTTTCAAAGTTTAAAAAAAAAAAAGAAAAGCCCATTCATTTTCTATAAGCTTTATATACAGAGATTTATGGACCATGGTAGAACATGCATAATTTGCCAGAAAGTTGAATGTCTTTCAATTGCAATTCATTAAATTTCACTTCCTGTTATTCCTGTCTAACTCTGTGCACTGTGGCCAATTAAATTCAGATTCCAGCTCATGAATTGAACGTACACATCTCAACAGTCTTACCTGAGCAGGACACAGACACCACTGAGCCAGAGAGACATTTGTCACTGTGAGAGAGCACATCATTGTTTCTATATGTAAATGATATGATAATTTTATGTGGAGAATATCACAAATGACCTCATAGCAAGTGTATCTTACCCAACTGAGAGTAAACTCTGGATGTCAGAGTGTGTGGAGTCATTGCTGACTGTAGCAAATGCATTGTTAGAGTTGAAAAGTAGACTCTTCACCGGGACTCGTGTACTTCGTGGACTCCTGTAGTGGAATATTTTCTCAATAAACACTATAAAGACTGCTGCAATCAATGGGAAGGTGCTCAGATTTCTTGGTTACATAAATATTGCAATATAACAGCACTTATATGTGGTTTTCCAGCTTAGTTTACTAATGGTCATTGGTTATGAACCATTGTACTGTGTGTGCTCCGCTTACGCTGTATAGCCCAGTTGTTGACAGGTTAACCTCGTGTGCTTCGTCCTCCAGTTATCAGCACACACTGTTCTCCATCCACCCTTATTAACGAACACCTGCAGGACCAGTCTCTCCCCCATCAGCCTCACTACAAGGAAATATAGATGAATCACATGTTCGCCTACAAATTCATCTTTAGTATACTTTAACCAAGGCCAGGGAACAGTAAAAATCTCTCAAAAGTGGTGTAAAAATAAAGGTTCTTTATTGGCATCTCTGGTTCCACGAAGAACTTTGAACATCAGAGACACTTTTCCATTTTACAAAAGGTTCTTTACGGTGGAGAAAGGTTAAATACATAAATACATTCTTACATAAAGATTCTTATTAATTTTTAAAAACATGTTTATCACAAGAAATGTATAAGAAAATAAAAATGTTTCTGTTAAGAACTACTAACTAAAAGGTTCTTTTGGGAACCCAAAATTATGTTCTATGGCATTGCAATGGGAAAAAAACAACTTTATTTTAAGAGTATAAGTGTGCATAATCACCTGGATATGTGTCATTGGTCTGCAGTTTGGATACACATGAGATTTCGTCCTCACGGCCTGCACAGTCAGCCTTTCTATCACATACCTTTTCAATTGAAATAAACTTCAGTGAGCCAGAGCAGAAGAAAAACTTGGTATTCACCATCTTAATGGCTGGAAAGTAAACAAATAAACAACAAACGGAGAGAATTTTCATGGAGAATGTTTTATATTTAGTGGTCAAAGTGATAAAACAATTGTCATAAAGTGATAAGCATTACAATGAAGAAAATGAAAGATGGCAGAAAAGGAGAATAACATGGCAAAAGATTCTTACTAAAGTACAACCCCACTATTAAGGTTGCTAGTATGACTAGCACACAGCACACAGTAATAATGGTCAATCTCCAGCGTGCTCTGCTCTCCTCAGTCCTCAGTGTGCTTAATTCTCGCCTTCGTTTCAGCTTTAGGGCCATGAGAAACTAGAAATCTAGCCAAATCAGTGGATTTTACTGGTCCTGTAATTCAATATAGACACGTTGTCCTTTCTTTAACTGTGTGAGACTTCACTAATACTAACAATTTTCTATGGCTAAGTATATTACGAATAGGTTTATATGGTATTAAGTTTCCTACAGTTCTAATTAGTGAATCATGACTAGCAGTGTTTAGGGACTCCTTCGTTATCACCTTACTTCAGCTGATCTGCATTAACTAATCAGTTGGAGGCAGGTTTTGATGAAACTTTGGCTGAATTCAGAACAGCATAGGCCTACTAGTTCTGCCACATGTGGGCACTATGCTAGTATGCTAGCATACTATCATTTACAGCAGAAATAGGAGTAGCATGCTAATGGCATTCTCAATTCAGCCTTTTATTTCAAATTAGGCTTAAATGTAATTCTCAAATTACTAAAATACTTTTTATAATATTAAGTTCAGATAGCGTAATTAACATGAAGTTAATTTGTCTGCATGATTTAAATACCTTAAATAAGTACAGCAGTAGATAATAATAATTATTATTATTATTTTTTAATGACAGGTGTTGGTTTTTATTCCACATTTGTCTAAAAATCATCTAAAATACACACCTTGCTGAATCAAAGCTATGACACAAAATACCAAGGTTTTTATACATCAGACACACAACTATAATTGATGCACATTTGCCAGTTTTGTATTAGAAATGTATAAATGGGATTGTGTTTTGTATGTGACTGTCTGTTAATGTGATTTTTAATATATTAAATATGTGTCTTATATAAATATATGTGTCTTAATATATTCAACACTCAGATTATCTTGCCTTTATTCTTAAATTGTGTGGTTTATTGGGTGAAATGTGATCTATGTGTAAACATACTTGTGTGATGGAGAATAACAGACTGATGGCATCAATTAAACACCAATTTCTACTGTGCCTTCATTTATGATGAAAGCAGTTCATGGACACTTCTGTTCTCTATTGAATTATCTGCATTACAGTGTTTCTATGGACATGTTGTTAAGAAACTCTGTTTAAAATGTTGCTTGTAAAACCAGTTAAACAGGTGTAAGAGAGAGAGTGAGAAAAAGAAATGAGTTACTACAGGGTGAGTCTGTCCTGCTCTGGTGATATAATAGTTGTTCTGCGTCACTAGCAGGTGCATGACAGAAAATAAATACATAGCTAAAGTACAGGTAGAGTTTTTCTGATCTCCTTATACGGATACTCACCTATGGAGCACAGACAAGTATGAATACTTTACCGAACAAAATGTTCTCAAACATGGATATATTGGTATATAACAAACATATAAATATTTATTTCTTGTATTTCAAGTGTGTCAGTTCTTTTTGTGGGTGGTTTTAAAACAACAGTTGTTTTGTGATTTTGTTAATATATTATTGTGAATGTATTAAGTATCACTCTTTTTCTCTTAGTGAGCTTGTGCGTAACATTGCAGTTGACTTGGTATTGTGTCCTAATAGTTACCAGTAATAATTATTAACACATATACATTCTAACTTAGAATGTATTAATAGAATTAGTAACCTTATTTGGTTATAAAAAAGGAACAGAATTATAAAAAATTAGGCAGATTACATGCGACTAAGTGAATGATTCAGTGTGTAATATGTAAAACGTGTTCCAACTGGATGCTGTTAAAGAGAGAATAAGATCTGTAACATACCATAAGAAGGAAGGGCAGGTTCTAAACCTCACAGATCAATCCTGGTGCAAAATAGAGAAAAACTGTTTAAAATCAAAATTTACAGCATCATTTATTAGAAGTTGGTCATTGAGAAGTATTACAAAATTATAAAAAATTTTGTGAAATCTAAATATGGAGAACAGATAAACAGCTTAAATGATCTGGATTTGGTCAGACTTACTATAAATGCCTGTCACTGTAACTTACAGCCGATCTGACTGACTGATCTTTTTCACTTTAGTATTTTATGTTGTTTCATAAAAGTCTGTATCACAAAAGACCGTTTTCATAAACAGGTTTACAAAAGTATTTTTTTTTTTATACAATTTTTTTTTTTTTTAAAAGCACTTATGTCTGTGTTTCTGTTACCCTCTTGTAATACTGTACTGCTTATGCGGGAGTGAATATTGTAACCCAAATAAATATAGGCCTATGCTGCTTTCGTGTGTACCTATATTTGAAAACCAGTTTGTGAATACTAGGTAATGTTAAAAAATGACTCAGAGTAGTATACCAGAAATCACTTTATTTTGTTAGTGCTGAAGCCTGCTGTTACAGATGCATTACAACTTTATTTACACATTGTGTGCAGTGTGAAACAGGCCTAATAAGGGTCTGCTTTCATTTAATCAAAACAGTACAACAAATTCAATAGAAACAATGAACCTATGTATATAATGCATCTATAAGTAGCTAGGAGACCTGAATGAGATGTCTGAATTGCTCTGTCAACTCCATGCAATATCTTGCTTGTCTTTCTAATGTCAGGTGTGTGTACGAGCACTTTTAAACACTTATTTGAATATGGAAAAAGAGGTTCATTGTATCACACATTAGGTCAGGCAGGACTAAAAAAAGTAAAGGGATTTTTTTGGGTCTTTCTTCACCTGCTGCCAAATCCTCATGCAGTCATATCCACAGTCAAATACTTGCTCACCAGTGTGTTGTAGACTGATGTGTATCAGCAGGTTCTGTCTCACATGGTAATCCCCGTCCAAATTTGCATCACAGACACCTTCAAATGTACCAAAAATCAGGATTACAATTTTTGAATAAGGTTCCAAAATGTTGTCATTGTTAAAGGAATTTATTTGAGAGAATAGTTCAACTTACTAATTATTGCACCCTCTGGTGGTGAGGAGGTGGTTATGTTACATCCGGAGAGAAATTCATATGAATGAATATATATTGAAATTATAAATTATATATATGTGTATAAATTATGACAATATAACCTGGTAATTCTAATTTATTGAGATGCACCTGTACATCAAATGCCTGCTCCTTGTGTAGTAGAGACAAGTAATATTTAATAGCACACACTACCTATACACACATCTATACAGGTCTTAAAACGCATGTTCATTAAAATAAATTGAGGGATCATAATGAAATAATTAAAATCTTTTTATCTGTGTTAAATAATTTTTATCATTTGTTTATTTGTATCAATTAAATGTTTACTTTCTGCAGTCCCGACACAGAAAAGTCAAATTCCCTCATACAGGAACAAAAGGTATTGCTATGGCGGGTCGAGTGGTACTGCTGTTATAGTTGTGCTGGTTGTGATTGCTGTCTGGTTGGGAGGTGAGCATATATTTTAAAGTATGTAATAATATTGACATTTGTGCTGTTCTGCCCACTGCTTTTTTATCAGACAGTAAATACTGTATTTTGGGTTGTGTATACTGTAACACAAGTTTCTAACTAGGACATCTAACTAAATAGGAACTTGTAATTTGGTGCAGCCTCCATGAAGAGTAACTTTTCACAGGTACACTTTAACTCAATTTTCGACTCCTGCACAGTCTGTTATGGGCCGTCACTGTGGGCTCTCTCAGAGAAAGAAACAGAGACAGACACGTGCCCCCCTTCATCAGTCAACTGTGATGGGAAGAGAGACTGTTCTCAAGGCAGTGATGAATCTCGCTGTGGTCAGTGTCAATCACATGTCAATAATGAAATCTCTTTTCAGTTGGATATCAAATACTGATTTGAATTTAATGTTTCTGTAGTGCGGTTTGGTACAGCAAATTAATTGCAGGTCATGACCTCTAAGACCACAAGCTTCCTTCCAGTCTGTGCACAGGGCTGGAATAAAACCATAGCAGACCAAACCTGCCAACAGCTTGGTTTCAGACAGTAAGTATAATTTAAACACACAAACACACATTATTCCTGTGATCTGAAACATTTTTACAGTCATTCAGAGAAGACTTGGTTATGGAATTTCTATGAAAAAAAATTTAAAAACTCTTATTTCTATTACCATATTTATATTATTACTATATATTACATTTTTAAACTGGTCTTCACCATGAAAATAGCCATGGATGCTGTCATGGCATTGAATCACAAGCAAACAAACATTAAACAATATTAAGAATATCTGTATGAAATGTACTCATGTGTGTTTCCGTTTGTGTGCTTTACAGGAGTTAAGAAGATAATGTCTTGCAAAGCAGCTCATCCGCCTTTCAAAGTTTGAACAGTCAGTTTACAAATACCATCCAGGAGAGCGTTAATATGAGGTAAAAACCAGAAATGTGTATAATTTGCTGCTGAAAAACACTAATTTAACCTACAGAAAACAAAAACACTCCAACAAAAGCACATGAAGCTATAGCAATCAGTGGATGTGTAGCTAATTCTATGTTAAAGGGGTCATATGATGCTGCTAAAAAGAACAGTATTTTGTGTATTTGGTGTAATGAAATGTGTTTATGCTGAACGAGCCGTTTTAGGTAGGTGTGACCGACTCTTAACTTTATTAAATAATATCTCTTTGGATTTGAGACTTTAGTCTTTGCAACTTTACAGATCTTCTTTATGCACCAAGAGCTTGTAACACTCCAAAGAGAAAGGAAAAATTGAAATCGCATCATATGACCCCTTTAAGGGAGGGAGAGACTCCTGCCAGGTTGGACACATTCTCATGTTCAAAAGCGTACAAATGCTGCTACCTTTCGGTACAATATTATATTGCAGTTTGAACTTTGTACTGTTTAATATGCTTTTCTAAGTTCATTCAGCATTATTTCTTCTTTTTCAATCTCACTCTCTCTCTAGGGCGACAGTGGGGGTCCACTGGTGTGTAAAGCTGATGACAAATGGCATCTCACAGGCGTAACAAGTTGGGGAGATGGCTGTGGAAAACAGAACCGTCCAGGGGTCTACAGTAACGTAGGGCAACTTTTAATGTGGATATATGGCAAGATGCAGGTAAACACACTTTTGCATTTTTACATGCAAACACACATAAAATAAGCATTGTGAGTTCATCATGAGTTAACATACATTATTTATATTTTTTATATTTTTATTTATATTTCCTTAACAAGCAGTCTCTTACCATTCTCTGTCTCTTTTCTCTCTCTGTTTCCTTAATTACAGCAACAGCGACCGTGACCTTCTACAACAATGAAGAACAAATCCTCAGGTTCTACTCTGCTGTGCAAACATTTTTATGTATCAAAATATATTTTCTCATTTTTTAAAGTGACAGTACACAGTAACATGCACTTTTGCAGTAAATATATATTTCTGTACATTTTTGTAATTAATTATTTAAATCATGAAGATCCAAAAAGGATCTTCAAGGACATGGATTATTACATTACTGTATCTATCTGGGACAAAATACCAGAAAATTTAAGCTGAACAATTCTCTCTGAAAGCACTGTATATTGTGTATTATATGTACTGAGCAGGTCTACTATTGAGGAGGAACTATTGTTTCCTAGCAATACATGCTACATGTAAAGATTTTCAATAATATTTTAAATTGAATACAGTGGAACAGCTTATTGAACTGAAATCTCTTTCACTCTGAGAGTAAAGCAGCAGGCTGTGATGGTTTTATTTTAGATTTTTACTGAAAAATAAAACTGTAATACTGTTCTTGAAGACAATTTATTTTTCTTCTAAAAGGTGAAAGTTGCAGGATCTTTCAACTTAGTCATAATCATTAACTTTAGAAAGAATACCTCACTTGGTCCATTTTTTACATGCTGATAGATTTATTTTCCAACTTATTAAAATGAGAGAGAGAGAAAACTCACACCTGATCTGTATGTGGACACTATTTTCCACTTGTACTTATTTGAAAACAAGAGTAAACAACTCAAGCAATCTGTTAGATTTATGAATACTCCCGCATGAAACTAAAGTGATTAGTTATGTATTTGTCCTACACTTCTTTATGTGTTCTTTAAAAAATGACAGATTAATTTTTAACCACCCACTGAAATAGAACTAACAGATAAACTAACAGTTCTGAATTATTCTGAAATCTCAATGTAATTTATTAACATAACTTAAAATTTATTAACATAAAAAGTTTACATTACAAAATGTGTGTATATAATTTTTGTATTTTATATCATGAGCTATTTATCTATCTTATATCGGGCCTTCAAAGATTAAATCTGTCTCTCGTGGTCTGCTTGTTTCTCAGGGAGCTATACTGACCTTGTCAGCTTATTGCAAGGGTACATTCACCACTGCTCAATGGTTAGATATTAAAAAAATGGCCCAAAGGCTTGTGTTTATGCACAAGTTTTGAGGTTTATGGGATAAGACAGGTCAGAGTGAAGGGTTTGAAGGTCGTTATTTGCGAAGCACACACTCTTTTTTCCTTCCCCGTAGGTCTCACTGATTTGTCATTTACAATTCCACCATCAGAGAGTTTAAGGTGTCCCCTGCAAACACTCAAACTCCTCTCTGACTTACACGCTCACACACATACATCACAGTAGTGGACTTTTCAACTCTGAGAGCTTTGAGATCCTACACCACTGCTAACAATGGGAGTGGGTAAGTTTGATTCAACTTGATAATCAGTATATATGAAAACTAAAACAACTGACTGTGTAGGCATTAAAATGGACTTTAAAAAAAAATGGATTATATATCACACAACTTAAATAGAGAGTTCACCCCCCAAAAATTTAAATTCTGTCATCATACACTCACCCTCATGTTGTTACAAACCTGTATGACTGACTTTTTTTTCCTGCAGAACATAAAAGAAGATATTTTAAAGAATGTTGGAAACAAACAGTTTTGGTTGAACTATCTATTTAACAAATTGAGACAGGTATTAGAGAAAGTAAAAATAATATTTACACTAGGTTTAAAGTTACCATTATACCCTTTGTGTGTTCTCTTTTAAGAAAAACCTGAGTATTCAGATGCTGATTTCACCTATGGTAAGAACGTCTGATGGTTACTTATACTCCTTCAAATTGAAGTGATGGGACTGTGAAATGATCATAAACACATTTTAAACTGGATAATGTGAGTGTGAATGTTGTACATTTGTTTGCATCTTATTTTATATATCTCAAACTAAGTAACAGTCCTGCTCTTAACAGCCAGTAAACAAAAGCTAAAATTGTGCTTTACAACTATTAATGCAAAGTTTTTTTTAGAAATACTTTTGTGGCTATCTTGTTTGTAACTATCTGTGTGTGCGCTTATGCCAGATTATGAGTTAATCAGAAGAGGTGGGCTGATCTTTGCAGCTGTTTTGTTCTGTTTGGGCATGGCTATCATATTCAGTGAGTATGTCTAGATTCATGCAATTTACAGCATGTCCTCTCTGCATAGATTACAATAAAAATACCAGTAAACACAGAAATCCACGCACACACCATTTCTTTCCTTGTATAATCAAATGTTATCTTCTTTTCTGGCAGGTAAAAAACTCAACTGTGGAAACAAGGTGTCTGCTAAGTAAGGCACATACAATATTCATACAATAAAAGATAACATACACACACACATTCTCCCTCTCTTACCTCTTGGTGTGTCTTCTCTGTAGGCCTGAAGGCAATGGTGATCTTTGACCTCTCCTTCATTAACCTTCACTGTGAGCATGCACATGCATTTACATACAGTGTTACAATTTTAGCAAGCATATTTCTAGCAAGCATCATGTTTTATAAAACAAATATAACTTTCTGTCAAGAAAGCATTTTTAAATGACTTTTAAAAGGTCGTCATCTTTCTTACTTTCTTATCTCAGAAACTGAATGAATTACAGATTCACAACACATAAAAGTACAGGCTATTAAAAGAATGTTGATGCACAAGATTCCCATTTATTCAATAACCAAATTCCAATTCTCTTGCTCCGTTTTCTGCAGGTTTTATGATCACTTGTGGTCAATGTACAGAGAAGATTTTTTTTTTTTCCAGATAAATATTGTTAATTTTCATTCTCAATATCTATGTATACTCTCACAATGAAATAAAATCAAAATGGTATTTTATGTGAAATCGCGTTATAATTGTACCCGTAAAAAGAACATTAGCCTATATGAAAATACAATAAACCCAGACGCAATATATTTTAAGATACTGCTACACACAGTTATTTTTAGATCTGTATATACGATCACAATCATCTGCAACAACATCAATCACTCTGTCTTTGAAAGGATGCTGCTTCGCCTTTAGGTCGGGTCTGCGTCCGCGTGCGTGCGCTCGAGCTCGGCTGTTGTAATTGGCTCAGCGCTGTGCTGTTGTCCATGCGCCACTGGGCGAGTCTCGGCTGTCTCAGTAACCCTCTTTTATCCTCAAAAAAGGAGAGCCAAAGAGGGCAGACTCAGAGTTGGGTTCGGGCGGAGGGACCGCCATTATTGGGAGGCTTGGACAACCACATTCACCCTCACGCACAATGTATATGTATATATATATATATATATATATATCTTAACATTTAAAGACATGCGTTGCCCAGATTGCTCGTGATTTGGCTACGAAAAACTGGATGTTGTGTCTCACTGTAAAGGCATCGCTGCATGCCGTCTGCACACGGTGAAATCAGCATTTTATGGCCACAACAAAGGGCATTATAATTGATCAAAACCAACGTGCTTAGGCCGCAGGAAGAAATCAAAACAAGCCTTTTTCTGCACGGAAACGACTGGCCTCCAAGAAAGGACATTTCTTTGTTTGGATATGTTTAGCCGTCGGTGGATTTTCACAGCCGTTTCTATGCGAACGCGAGATCAGTAAGTTGCGCCTGACAAAAATATCCGTTGGAAACTGCAAGTCTGTCAAGCCACAATCAAACAGTCCTCACGGAATTTAATGTCCTCGGCTTTTTACGTAGTCTTTTGTTTTCCTTTCTTTCTGGTCTCCAACAACACTGACCAAGCCGGTTGTAAGCCCTCTCGCGCTGGCCTGGACGAGGGAAGAGGGCTTGAGGAGCGAAAGGGAGGACGGAGAAAGGCACTGGTACGTATGTGTGTATTATCAACGGTGTTTCATTAAAACAAGTATTAGCGAGCAAAGTAGACCGTGTCACCTACGTGACAGTTTTCAGCCGTTTAAGAATCCTATAAATAAAATATCTTTAAATAAGAAGTGGAGTACAGAAGGGAAATTGTGTACAAATACAAGTGAGTGCTGTCTATTGTGCAGGCAGCGCCTTGGTTGCATTGAAAACGGATTTATCTTGCACTCTTATAATCTCAGAATGTTATAAATTGGCAGACTATTTTCACACGTGATGTGCACCTTGGTAGTTGCTATGTAACGCAGTAGAATACACCAACGGAATGTAACGTAGATGAGTCGCGCTAATTTATTATAACTACATACTCTGATTTAAATACGTGAGGAAATGTCACGGACAGTTGAGTGTGTAATCTCTGTTGCAGCACTACACAGACAGCTGAGACGCTCATATGAAGGCAGTTCTGAACCATGACATCCGCGTTACGTAGCTTTCTTAGGCTATGCTGGGCCTAGGCTTTGGGAGTGAAATCTTTTAGCAGTTGCTTTCTTTAGGGTTCAGAACTTCAGATGTGTATTTTGCTTGAAGAGTGTGCCGTGGGATGTCTTTATTTTGCCATACACATACAACCACAACAGTGTTTGATGTATGTTCAAGCCATATATTTCTCAGTGTTTAACGACACCGTGGGCTACTACAGCAAGTCAGATCATAAGGTTGTGTCTTGGTGTGTCAGTTGAAGGTGAGTCTAAACAGCTGGAAGACTCGGATATTATGTAGTACCAATCAAACTGCATTGTCACTAGCACCCACTTGCACTGCACCTGACCTGCCTGGGGATCCCATAGTTTGAGGTCTGTAGCCACGCAGGGTCTGTATTTGAGTTTTTAAGTCTACAACACCAGATATAGCATCAGGATTCACCAACAAAACATTTCCTGTGTGTGGTACTGTACCACTAAAACATTTTTCAAGTTAGGAGTAATATGCATGCTGTTGAGTGCATTGTCCAGGAATAGCTCTAGAAAAACACCATTTTGAATAGCCACTAATCATTTAAAAAAAAATGTTTTATTGTATTTGTTACAGCACTAATTAAGATAAATGATGAATAAAGATTTTTTTATACTGTATTCTGCATTCTTCTCTTATTTATAACAATGCACTAACCTAAATATGTGCGTTTGTGTTTTGATGCAAAGTGGGAACAAGAACTGTTGTCAAAGTAATCTTGTTTCATATTATTTTCAGTTTTTTTTTTAGCAAGTTCAATAAATGATCACCGAATACATTCATTGAAAATGTTAAAATGTCACCCATGTAGTTGTCTAATGTATAATATTGTCTAATATACATATTAATACTGGTTTCCAACAACTGCATACAGTATGTGACAATGCCCTTAGATAACAGTTCACCAAAAAATGAAAATTCTATGAGAACTTTTGGTTTTGTGGAACACACTAGGTGAATTTAAGAATATTCTGCCCACTCTTTTCAGTATAATGAAAGTGAATGAGGACTAGGGCCATCAAGATACAGAATGCCAAAAAAACATCATGAAAGTAGCCCAACATCTTACATTTCTGTCTGTTTTTCAAATGTATCATTTGGCTTTAGAAGACATGGAATATTGCCCATCACATTGGCCACTTATGATGCTTTTATGGTGTTTTTTGTCATTTCTGAAGCTTGAAAGCTCCAGTCCACATTCATTGTAATTGCACGGAAACGGCAATCAACTACATTATTTAAAAATTCCCCCTTTGCATTTCATGGATAAAAGATAAGTGATGAAATGATGGAATTGTGGGTGTGCTGTTGTATTGGAAATAATACAGAGATGGTTAAAGAAAGAAATCATTAAATGCTGGTAATATTCTATTCACCAGTGCTTATTTGAACCTAACTGCTAAGTTCTACAGTTCAGTGGAGAGGAAGTAATTACCTTTACTGTTATTTCAGATTTTCTGTATTTTTTATATTGTGCCTTAATATTTTGTATGTAATATTGTGTAATCACGCATACAACCTGATCCATATCTACAACCAGAATATCATGGAAACCTGAATGAATGAATGAACAACCACATAGTTACGAACCACACATGACTAGAAATCACCTAGTAACACCTTGACAACGATTAGGAATTGAGAGTTGAACTGGCAAGCACCAGTGACATTTTATTCAGATAATTAAATTTTGTAAAAGTTGTCATTAATATGGGGTTTGCTGTAAGTATTTGGGAGCCTTGGTATTTTTTTTTTATAGTATATGTTAACATTTACTTGAACTTTGTGACGTGAAGTGACTAGTTCAGACAACAGAAGACTTCATTCCGGCAAATGAACTAATCTGGAATTTCCTAAGTCTTTAAAAAGTAGCACTAAGGATAACAGTGGATTAATTACATGCTGGAATTATTGCTTATGTCTGCTGTGTGAGAAAGCACCATTATTAAATGGCCAACCCACATACTGTATTCAAAAAACGTTTGAGTAGTGTTTTGGAAATCGGGCAACTCTCAAAAACTTAACGCAAATAACCAGAAACTATCGAGCAGTATATGTTTAAATTCAAAGTACATAGTGAAACCAAGTGTAAATAGATTGTAAATTATGATTGTGAAGGACTGTGAAGTTAACTATTCTAACTAGTTTCTTAGTATTTACATAGTTGTGTAGGTTTGCTAGCATAGGAATTGATCCATATTAATCTGATAATGCTAGAAATCCATAATAAGAACTTTTAAAAATTAAAAAAAAAAAAAATTTTTTTTTTTAGAAATGTTTGTTTAGAACAATATTTAAGCATTATTGAAGAAACATATTGAAATGTATTAATGTATAATGTTAGGTACATTAAGGGGTTTAGTGTTTAATGTAGGGTTATACTGTGCAAATCGAGTATCATCTTAATATCTGTGGGAATTCATAAAGTAGTTTTCTTAAAATTCTTTGAAATTTGCCTTTTGGGCAAACAAAGCACATAATTTTGCTGATAATTGGTTTGTTCTTTCTCCCTTTCTTTCCCATTTAGGCTAGCCCCAATTCCTGCTTCTGCCTTCTTCGCATCTTCATGTCTCCTCTATTAACTCTTATTAGTACCCTCTAATATGGGCAAAACATACAAGCAGTTTTCTTGACCTGAAAGGATGATTGAAACATCAGAACTAAAATCTCAATTGTAAATCAAATACAGGCCCCTGACATCAATATTTTATGGACACGTTTTAAAGAGTCTGCCTCTGTCAACCTTTGGGGCATGGCAAGATGAATGCCTGTGTGCGATGATGATGGCTAAAAAGCAAGAATCCCGAATGCCTATCTACAACCTCGTTGTTGTTGGCCTGTCGGGGACTGAGAAGGAGAAAGGGCAATGTGGAGTTGGTAAATCATGCCTTAGTAACCGCTTTGTCCGTCCTAGTGCGGACGACTTCCATCTTGATCACACTTCTGTGCTAAGTACCAGTGACTTTGGTGGCCGGGTTGTCAACAATGACCATTTCCTGTTCTGGGGAGAGGTGGGGAGAGTTTTGGAAGATGGTGCAGACTGCAGGATGCATGTGGTTGAGCAGACCGAATTCATTGATGACCAGACGTTCCAGCCCCATCGCAGCACAGCCTTACAACCCTACATCAAAAGAGCTGCCTCCACCAAACTGGCTTCTGCTGAAAAACTCATGTACTTCTGCACTGATCAGTTGGGACTTGAGCAAGACTTCGAACAGAAGCAAATGCCCGAAGGCAAATTGCAGGTGGATGGCTTTCTGCTTTGTGTTGATGTCAGTCGTGGTATGAACCGCAACTTTGATGATCAAATGAAATTTGTCACCAACTTGTACAATCACTTAAGCAAGACAAAAAAGCCTATTGTGCTAGTTCTCACTAAGTGTGATGAGGGTGTGGAGCGTTACATCAAGGACTCTCATACCTTTGCCATTACAAAAAAGAACCTGCAGGTTGTTGAGACGTCGGCACGGTCCAATGTCAATGTTGACTTGGCTTTCCTTACCTTGATACAGCTCATTGATAAGGGAAGAGGTAAGCCCAAGATCATACCTTACTTTGAGGCATTGAAACACCAGAGTCAACTAATTGCTTCTGCAAAAGACCGCTATGAGTGGTTAGTAAACCACATTGTGAAGAATCACAATGAAACATGGCCCAACATTAGCCGACGAATGCAGACTTCACCTGAATACAAGGAGTATGTATTTTTAGAAGGTACGGGTAAGGCTAAGAAGCTATTTCAACAGCATATTCACCGGCTAAAACAGGAACACATTGAAAGGCGTCGTAAAGCATACTTGAGTGCTCTTCCACTCGCCTTGAGTAGCTTAGCTTCTGAGTTGGATGAAATTGAGCATTTGAGCTGGTCTGGGGTCCAGAAGGTCCTTGAATCTAAAAAAGACTTTGATCATTGGTTTGTGGTACTGGACGATGCACCATGGGAGGACACGCCGCATCTTGACAATATGGAGGATGAGCGTATCCCCTTTGATGTTCTAGACACCACGGCTGCTGAAATAATCTTTGATGCACACCTTGAACACTTGCGCAATGAATGCAAGCGTGCCCAGATGCGTCATGAGTTCAAAGCAAAATTAGCATCTTCACCTTTCATTACCCCTGGCAAACCTTGGGAGGAGGCCCGAAGCTTCATCATGAATGAAGACTTCTACCAGTGGCTTGAGGAGCCAGAATATTTGGACATTTATAACCGGCATCAGAAAGCAATCATAGACAGGGCAAAAGAGGATTTTCAGGAGCTTCTGCTGGAGTACTCGGAGCTCTTCTATGAACTTGAGGTAGATGCCAAACCTAGTAAAGAGAAGATGGGAGCAATTCAAGAAGTTTTAGGTGAAGAACAACGCTTCAAGGCCCTTCAGAAATTACAAGCTGAAAGGGATGCTTTAGTGCTGAAACACATCCATTTTGTGTATCACCCTACGAAGGAAACATGTCCGAACTGCCCACACTGTGTTGACAACAAAATTGAACAAATACTAGCTTTGTGCTTTCCTGCACAATACCCTTCTTTTGGAAAGTCCAATATTTTTGATGGAAAGGTAGATAGGATCAATCTTGTTATACTGGGCAAAGATGGTCTTGCTAGAGAATTAGCCAATGAGATTCGGGCATTGTGTACCAATGATGATCATTATATGCTTGAAGGTAGAATGTATGAGCTTGTCCTTCGGCCCATTGAGGGTAATGTTAGACTTCCTGTTAATTCATTTAATACATCCACATTTACTCCCCACGGATGCCTGTGTTTGTACAATTCAAAAGAGTCCTTGTCATATGTTGTAGAAAGTATTGAGAAGTTGCGAGAGTCCACGCTTGGCAGAAGGGACAACCATATGGCTCAGCTTCCCCTGTCACTCTTATTAGTAACCAAAAGAGGTGTTGGAGGACTGGGTGACATTGGTGGTGAGACTGCTCAAGCATTAATCTCACAAGGTCAGCAGGTAGCCATAAAACTACAGTGTAATTACCTGGAACCTGCCTCCCCTGGCACTGGCTATGGGCGAAATGTGAATGAAAAGCAGATCAATCAGGTCTTGAAGGTTCTACTTGAAACAAGGAGGACTTCTACATTTCGTAGCTGTTCTCCACCTGCACCTCCGCTGCCTCCATGTATTCGAGAGTTACAGCAGGATCAGAGTCCAGAGGCTGAATTGCGTATTATCATGTGCCTAATGTGTGGAGACTCCTATGACATTGATCAAATTCTTGCACCATTCCTGCTTCCACAGCATTGCAAGCCGACCTCTCCTCAGACAAGTGGCACTTCAGTGCTGCTAGAACAAACAATTAGTGGTCATAAGCATACAATTGAACTGTCTCTAATGTCATACCACGCTTCTTTTGCCACTCGTAAGAGTCGACTGGTGCATGGCTACATCGCTTTATACTCTGCTAACCGCAAGGCTTCTTTTGAAACCCTGTGTGCCTTTTTGTGTGAGGTTCAGGACATTGTCCCAGTTCAGCTGCTTGCAGTGGGGGAAACCCGGACTGAGCTTCTGGACTCTGAGACTGCTCATGGGTTGTTAGTCCAAGGTGAAGAACTGGCCCGTGAACTTGAGGGACGGTTTTGCAGTATTGTCTGTGGCCCTGGAGGAGTTGTTGGAGGACTACAAAAACTAGACCTGTTGGAACAATTTTTCACAGAGGTATTAGAAAAGAGAACTATTGTTGAGGCCAGCCATATGTATGAAAACATTGCAGAAGCCAGTAGCACAAATGAGAATGTGTATTCACCACACTGTGGCTCCCCAAGCCCTGTCACAATGCTGTTAGATTCTGAGGAAGACATGGAAGCTTCCCCGCCTTACCATGATGGAACACTCACTTCTCATGGTGGATTCAAACTGCCTGACCTGGATTCAGGTGACACATTCTCTGTGATCTCTGACCTTAGCACCTTTGAGAACAAGCTAAATAATAAAGTTCCTCCTCAAGTAAGACCCAAACCAAGTGTCACATTTGACCTTAGAAAATCTAATTTTAATCCGTACATGGATGCAGTCAGCCATCGGCGTTCCCTTACATCCAATGTGACGTGGCCTCTAGGAGGAGATTATGATCCTTCGGACTATGCTGAGCCAATGGATGCTGTCTCTAAACCACGCCCCAGCTATGAGGATAGCATATATTCTGTGCCACATGACAGCACACAGGGCAAAATTATTACCATCCGCAATTCCTATCGGATCCACTCTAATGGAGGAGGCAATGGTTCAGACAGTGAAGGGGATGGCAGCTCATTGGAGAGACGTCGCAAGTTCTCTGCAGCAAGGGTGAAGCCACGGCTGTACCGTGATCATTCCAAACGTCTGGGGAAGTTCAGCAGTTTCCGCACTAGTTTTTCCATTGGTAGCGATGATGAGATTGGCACACTCTCAAGGTCAAAAGATGATGATGTTTCAGGGCTGAAGGCAGACATACTCAATGAAGAAGGAGAAGATCCCAAAAAGAGGAACATACTGAAAAGTCTTCGCCGACCAGGCAAAGTAAGATTTATTTGTTTACTTATTTTACATGACATTTAAAAAAGTATACTCATCTGTTTTTAACATTGTGCAACCCTCTACATTGCGAGTAAATCACTCGCATATGCGACTAAATCTTACCCTGGGCCACTAAATAATGTCTAACGTTAGCCATTGGCTAATAAATTCTTAAATTTTACACGCCAGTATGTGTGTGAGAGGCGTTCAACACAGATTTTCACTCGATAAACACGCTGACTGAGCGCTTGAGAGTTTCGCTCTCCGTCAAGCGATCTGCACTATTTGGATGCGCTCAATGGATCATGTCATGTACTCAATGGATGCGCAGTATGTAGCACGCAGCGCACCTGTATTTGACGTATCGTAAACTAGTGTGAAGGTGCACGACTCGCCGTCACTTTACTGATAGCACTGTGTTTCTCACACATGCAAAGAGAGAGAGCGAGAGTCTTGCATACCACGCTGAATCGACGCGCTACATGTAAACCATATTATGGTGTGCGTAGAGGGTTGTTGTGATATTTAATTTAATTGCTGTTATTGGAGTCAAAACAATGCTAATTGTCTTGTATAATTGTCAAATAATCTGTATTTGTCTTGCTATCAGAAAACAAGACCAAAGCCTCGTCATTCTATCTCTAAGCCTTTGGAGAGTAACTACTTTGGGGTGCCTCTGGTGAATGTGGTTTCCCTTGAACGACCTATTCCAGTTTTCATTGACAAGTGTATTCGTTACATTGAAGCCACAGGTAAATTTGCTGCTGCTGTTTCACCATCACACTCACCCCATAAGAGTTGTGCTTAGGGAACCATATAAGCTTATCATTATCGCAGTTTCCAGTTAAAATTAGATGCTTAATGGCCTGTAGCTGTCATAAATCACACCACAGCATAGTTTTGCACATAGTTAACTTTTTTTTCTGACTGGGTGACAATGAAGATTGTAGAACCATATTAATATGAATTTAAGAACTTTTTACTTTTAGCATTTTTAATAGCCGCAAACACAGTATATTAGACCTGAATATAGTAGCAGTTTGTAGAATTATCTTCGACACTTTAACAAGTACTCGTGCAGTGATTAGTATTTAAAGTCTTAAAATGCTTAAAATGAGTCATGGAAAGATGTACCTCAAAATAATCTTGTTAAAAAAAACTCTCTCTCTTAGGTTTGACAACAGAGGGTATCTACAGGGTAAGTGGGAATAAAGCGGAGATAGAGAGCATGCAGAGGCAGTTTGAACAGGGTAAGTTCAGAAGGAATGCAATAAAATTGTTGTGGGTACAGTATGATGGTGGTTGCCTTATGGTGTTAAGGCATGTATTGTTACATATAGTATGTATAAGTGCATGTCGACAGTTAGGGGTGGGTGATGTACCGGTAGACCCGATTAACCGGTAGAAATTTGTCAACCGGTAGAGATTTTGGTCTGTTCTCTCTATCGCGGTTACACGCACATGCAACGTGGACACGAAAACTTATTGTTTGCAGGCATTTTTTTAGCATTGCGGTTTAGAAACAAGTGATTTTAAGCCGTTGAAACGCAATCAGCAGCGAAAAAGAAATAATGTTGTAATTTGTGCGTGCTGTTTGAGAGACTGTTTCTGAGTGCTGTCAGAGAGGCGCGCGCACGTGAAGACGGTGCTCATAGACCGCGGGAGTATTGAGCGGAGTTATTTTTGCAGCTTTATAGGCCTTGAACAGTTAAATACACACACTTGTATGTGTCAAAATGCCCGTCTTTGCAAGTATCTTCGCAAACAGCTGAAAAAGAAAACACATGTATAACAGTAGACTATATTATATATATATATATATATATAGAAATATAGACCTATAAATATATATTTTATTTACACAGTGAAGAATATGCAGTGTTTTTATACATTTGATTACTTTATGCAATGTATGTAGAATTTCTTATTTATTTGTTCTACTGTAAGTTTTTTTTTTGTCCTATTGCTTGTAATTAGTTTCTTATTATTTATTCGCCGACTGTTTACTTGTCTTCAGTGAGTTAAAGGGGTCATATGATGCTGCTAAAAAGAACATTAT